TTAGGATAAATATTAATTGTTGTGAAATCATGAACAATATTTGCTTATATATAAAGTTATTAAAAGTTAGAAGTAATTCTTCAATGGGGGTCTACCAAGAATTCAATCAATATTCTTGTCTGTGTTTCTTAATATATGAAATCACTTAATGTACAATATTTTGATTTTGTTATAAAAGTTTACTAAAAATCCATATTATTAACTATTATGAGCTCTCTGTTGGCAAATATCAGAATTAATTTATTAACTCTTATATAATAAACAATGAAAATAAAAATACAAGTTTGTATACAAATTTGCTATATGTGTAACAATAAATTAATAGCTTAAATTGTTTCACGATTTATATATGATTTATAGTAGACTATAATTGAAAACAAAAATAAGTTTGAAATTAAAATAGAATAAATACAGTGCAACCCGGATATACCCGGATTAATTCTATCACACATATTTTAAATACAAATACAAAAATATAATGAAATAAAGCTAAACTATTTTAATCCAATACAATAAAAAATGTTATTGATATAAAGTGTAACAGCATTTCCTACATTGAAAACCAGTCGATTGTATGCATACATATGACTGCCATATCAAAGCCAACATTGAATGAGTGAAGGAATTAATAGTGAAGTGTTTAGAGATATTGAATAAAAATCCATATAATCGGTGAATCCGTTTGTGTGAATGAGTGGAGGCAAAGGGCTCGACATTACAGCACCACTACTGGTGTTCTCGTTGTGTCTCATTTAATAATAACTCCCAAAAACCATTAAACCTAATCTTAAAGTCAATTTTATTATCTCTATCACTGATTATATATTTGTTATACAAAAATATGGCAAACAATACAAACAACACAATGAATATATCGGTGCCTTTGGAGGCGTTTAAGACGGATGTGAACAACACTTATAGCAATAAATACAAGAAGATCGCCTCCTGGACTCTCTTTTACTGTGCCTTCACTTATGTAAGTATTTGTTTGAAAAATTGCATTTTTATGCCAATGCCAAATAAATGCAAAATGTGTGTTAATAACAGGGACTCACCACTTATATTATTGGTCCGGCTTTGAATGATATGACCATTAAATTAAACACAACTACAGACAACATAACGTAAAATATTATAAAAATATTAATAACCAAATGGTAATAATATCGATTGTATTAAATAGACTTGTACTAGGATGTTTGCTTGCTGGATACACTCTGGGAGCTATAATTAGTAAGTTTTTGATTATTAAAATACTTATGCAACATTTATTATTATGTACATTATTGTACATAATTTGCATTAAATATAGTATTAATAACTGTTAAAATGGTTTATAATTTGGAACTAAACTGATTTAATCAAAGTTGACATTTGTTTTTATCAGTTAAATAATAGTTTCTTTTCTTATATCTTATCGTTTTCATAAAACATTTATGACTTTGACATATATTATATAATTTGTATTTATTAACAAATCTTATATAATAGACGGAATAATTTTCAACTTTATAAACCGTCAATTGGTGTTAATATGTCTGCTGGTCATTATGGCCGGTGCCGTCTCATTGGCCCCAAACGTACCCAAATTATGGATGCTTTTGGTCGACGGATTAGTTTTGGAATAATTTTCAACTTTATAAACCGTCAATTGGTGTTAATATGTCTGCTGGTCATTATGGCCGGTGCCGTCTCATTGGCCCCAAACGTACCCAAATTATGGATGCTTTTGGTCGACGGATTAGTTTGTGGTTTTGGTGCCGGAGGTTAGCAAATATTTCATTATTGCTATAATAAATGTATTACACAATTGATTAAAACAAACATTTAATTTACATATACTGTAAAGGTTTCGATACGGCACAAGTGGTTTGGCTAATAGAGCTGTGGGGCGACAAATCCAGTCAATATTTGCAAGGAATGCAATTTTTCAACGCTTTGGGAACCGTTATATCACCGCTAATGACCGCACCTTATTTGGCCACAAAGATTGAGCAGAAAAACAAAACACAATCCATAACCGCGTATAACATCACTAGTTATTTAACGTCAAATTCAAGCCATAGTTTACATATTCATAACAATAACGACGAAACAAAAGATGTGGACATTTATACGAAATCTCAAATCGAAATACCCTTCGGAATCGTTGGCGCACTTCTGCTCACATCTGCTCTGCTTTTGTTAATTTTACATTTTTATAGACGATATACACCTCCGGTCGATGAAAACGACCAGTTTGTGTGCAAATGTCCGGAGAGATTGACTTTGATTTACATAATACTCGGCGTATTCACAATCGCGCCGTACGTAGGGATGGAAGTAATGAACTTTCAATTGATCGCAACGTTTGCCAAGTATTCACACCTCCAGCTGTCGGGCAGCGACGCCGCACTCGTCCAGACCGTAATGGCCGCCGCTTTCGCACTCTTTCGCGGCATTTGTTTTATTATATCGTTTAAGTTTTGGTCGGAAAATATCATTTTCTTGAACATTGTGTTGATAGCCATTGGAAACGTAGTGACCATATTGTTTGAAGTGAATGGATATTCCCATACAGTGCTATTCATTGGTGTGATTGTGACGGGAATTGGCTTTTCAACAGTGTTTGCGTCGGTTTACGCTTTTCTCGAGAAACATATCGCCATCAGTAACGCCGTCGGGGGTCTACTCGTGTGCACCTGTGGTCTAATGGGCGGACTTCTGCCCACAGTTTGCGGACAATTTATTGAACACAATCCGTTGACTTTGATGTATATGAACTTAATGTGTACCACAATTATTGCCATTTCTTTCACTACATTTAAAGTGATTATTTATACTAAATCTAAGTCACAAGTGATTTAATAGAGACCCACGATCGGCTTTTAAATACAAGTCTAAATACATTTAGTTTAATTAAATGATTTTTAAATTATTGATGAAAACTTAATTAAACTTATTTTTACTTATAATGTTTTTACTTTATTTTAATGAATAAAAACTGTGATATTATAGGAATTAATTATAATTACAAGAGTTTGTGTATAATTGCAATAAATACAATAATGTTTAATAAAACTTATTTGATTGCTATATTCATTGTAATAATTTTCTATTTATTGGATATACTGTATATGCAGACTGTCTTGAAATGTATGGCAGATGACTTATTTTCAATGTTAGCCAATGTAAAATATGAGGGGTTCAGTCCTGGCTTCTGGCATATATCTAACGAGTAAGGTCTGTACTATAAGTCAAATATTATATAAAGTAATGTTGAGTTCTTTATGTCGTGATATTTATGGTAATTATGTTTTATAAAAACAAGTGTACAATCAACGCGCCGAGTAATCAAAGTTCAATTACTATTTATGAATATGAATTCATAATTTTGATAAGTCTATATATCATCATGAATCATCAAGTGTTAGCCGTAACACATTTAAGCGCATTTT